TCAAAAGGTACACTTTTGTACCTAAAGGGTGCATATTGGTACCTTAATGGTACATTTTAGCACCTAAAATGTAAATAATAGCACCTAAAATGTACATATTAACACCTAAATGTACATAACAGCACCTACAATGTACACATTAGCACCTAAAATTTACCTATTAGCACCTAAATGTACATAATAGCACCTGAAATGTACACATTAGCACCTAAATGTACATAATAGCACCTAAACTGTACACATTAGCACCTAAAATGTTCATATTAGCACCTAAAATGTACATAATAGCACCAAAAATGTACTTAACACCTAAATGTACATAATAGCACCTACAATGAACACATTAGCACATAAAATGTACATATTAGCACCTAAAATGGAAAAAGTTTACCTTTTGAAAATGTACAGCCCCAGTGACAGCTTTTGTACCTGAGAGTGTATATGCCTGTCAAGCTCTAAAGCGGAAAAAAGTAGTCCATATGACTTATTCTGTCTTCTGAAGTCATATAAAAAGCTTTAAATATGTGATTTACTGAAAATCGTCACCACCTCCATACCTTTTAAATCTTTTTTTTTTTAAACCTTGACATTGCAATTGGTATATCATTTCTTATGTCAAACAAAGACATAATGAGAGTAAGTAAATGATGATTTCTATTGGTCTCCAAGTGAGTCTGTTTTGGTATATTTAAATGTGACACCATGTTGATATCTGCCTCTGTTTGTATTGCATGGTCGTTCAAGAAAAAAACAGAGATTCCCTCTGCTGTCCACAGAGCTGTGTTATCTCCTGAGCACTGTCCCACTTCTGCATGCTGTAAATACCCTCTCAAATACAAGAAAATGCCCTAATGTAGGCCATAGTGTCTTCTGGAAGCCTTCAGTCATGTCTGAACCGGGGCAGAGTCGGCTGAGTGACTTTAGCTCTACTGTTCTAGTTGTGACTTCTGATATTCACCGTCATACATTTACTGACCTGAAGTCGATAAGACACATAAGCTCATTTTCTTTCTTTTTTCTTTTCAAGCGTACCAAAACTAATTGAAAAGAAGAAAACCTTGGAAGTATACTTGGATGCGATAAACCATATACAGCCTAACTGGTCAACGTTTCACATTTTGAGCCAACCATGAGAATACATGCTTAAAAGTCGACAAAAAAAACGAGCGTTTACACTATACGAAAGCAATCCGGTCGAACGCGTTTTCTGGAAGAGGTTGAAAGTAGAGAAGCTCAAAAAGTGGTTTACCCCATTTACTTAGCGTCGTGACTAAAACGGCTCTTAATACAGGTGTAAACAGAGTCAATCACCTGGGGCCTCATGTATAAACGTTGCGTACGCACAAAATGGGCATAGAAATATGCGTACGCATTTCTTCACGCACATATCGGGATTTATAAAAAATAAACTTGGCGTAAATAAGTGCGCACCTTAAGGATGCTCTTGACCGTGCGTACGCACTCTTTTAGAAGAGTAGGCCTATGTGTTTTGGCGACACCGATGGTGAGCTGGAGTTAAATGTATTTTTGGTCACTATTAGACAGAGAATCTAAAGAAAATTATACATCTACAGAAATATAAATGAAAATATAATTTCACAAACCTATCATCACTTGAAGCAAACATCCATCCCTTCTTAAATGTCTGCGCCATGAGCGCGTTGGGCCGTTTGGTGAAACTGACGCACATATAATCTAACGGCAGATGAAGTAAAACCGTAAATCTTCATTATGAGTCCAAATCATAAATACAGTGCATGTTCACAATAACAGTTTAAATAAATAAAAGAACGATTTAAACTAAGTTTTACTTCTGATATAAACATTTCGATTAAATATGCCATTCTCATTAATGAAGTTAAACACTTAAACTACATGAAATCATTACTGAGAAGTTGCAAAAAATGTAGGCTATATTCAATAAATAGAAATAGATCTATTTGTTGTGGATGCAATGCTTTTGAACATTGTTCCTTTGGCATGCTGTTTAAATGTTTTAACTGATAGCTAATACAGATTGTCTGAAAAAAAATCGTTTCGTGCAAATATTGCACAACAAGATCTTATCTGTTTACATTAAAATATAAATAAATTAAAAATACTATTTGGCCAGTGGAAAAGATTGAGAAAATCTTTCTCTGAAATGTATTTAACACTATTTGATTTATTTCTTCAAAATAGGCTACTAAAAATATATATGTTTGTAATAATGTGACGGCACATCCGCATTTCATATTTAATAACGTCTTACCGTTAAACATGGTATCACGTGGATGAATAATCATATGCAAATGATAAGCAGATTAGGATATGTATATTTAAACTAGGCGTTGTAATCTCCATATATGGTTATTTCGGGGAGGAGACGCACGTGCGCATAATCTCCCGCTGACTGGGATTTATAAAGGTGAATTTTGCGCAGGTTCTGGCGTACGAACGGTTTTATAAATCTGAAAACTTTTGTGCGTACACAAATTCTGCCTTATGTGCGTACGCACACTTTAAGGAAGAAATCTACGCAAAGTTTTATACATGAGGCCCCTGGACTCATCAACCAATCATAGTCTTCTGACTGTATGGGAATTGTAGGGTTATTATGATTTTTGGATAAGAATGTTAATTCAGGAACAACCCACAGACCACATCAAGCTCCATCAAGACATTTAAAAACTTAAAAATAATTCTAATCCAACTAATCTGTGGTGACTGTCAGTAATGTCTGCAGTAGCCAATGCTTTGAAATGCAACGTACAGCAGCAAAAGCCAATGCTTTGAAATAAAGTGCATTTTAGAAGAATGGGAAAATTACAATTTGATTAAATTCTAGGAACAAAAACTAAAGTTACAAAATAAAAATAAAAACACCATGCATGTTATTTTTCCACATATGAAACAAATAGCTTATAAAACGGCAGCTTATATAAGATATAAATAAACAACAAAGATCAAGCCAGTAAGTGCCAAAAAGAACACAGAGCCCCTATCTGAGATCTGAGTGCACGGTTGGTCCATCATTAGTATGCCACTGACATGAATTTTTAAAGGATTTCAGCCCATTGCTTTTTATCTTTGAAATTGAATTTGTTGCAGCGAGAATGAAATTGGTGGCGCTTTCCTTTCCCGTCGGTGAGTAACCCTACCTCATAACAGACACGTGATATCAAAAAGTCTTAATATGCTTTTATGGTGCCATCATACCAAAATTATGTTCATTTGTTATTCAATTAATAAAAATAAACTTTCAGTTGTGTTTAAGTAGTGTCTGACAGGGCACAGCAGAGCTGAACGTTTTTTCATAGTTCATAGCCTGTGAACAGCTGATGGCTGATAATGAGGCTAAGGATTTTGTTTTGATTAATTTTGCAATAACGTGACAGATTTACACATGCATACTAAGTATATTGCCAATTATGCTGTTAAAATGCTTTTGCAGATAATAATAAATGTTAGCAAATGTGACTTTATGGCTTGTTCAGTTTAGTTAATTCAAATGAACTATTCCAAAATAGTTCTTAAACATGTCTTTTAAAATTGTAAAATGCAAATATACTTGATCCTTTTTTTGTTGGGACAGCATTAACTCATTTGTTAGCCATGACTACAACAAGTACAGAAATCCATGAGGGAAATCCATATTCACACACACACACACACACAAACGGTGTTTCGTGAAAAGGCTTAATTTAATATAGTTGGCAGACAATTGTTTTCTTAATTGAATTAAGTTTATGGAACATTTTTATTTTCAAACTGAGATGATGTCTCTCAAAGTAGCATCTCAAATGGCAATAACTTTGAGCGAATTTGCTTTCACACATCCTACTTAAAGGAGTAGTTCAATTTAAAAAAAAACTTTTGCTGATAATTTACTCACCCCCATGTTATCCAAGATGTCCACATCTTTCTTTCTTCAGTCGAAAAGAAATCAAGATTTTTGATGAAAACATTCCAGGATTTTCTCCATATAATGGACTTCATTGGGAACCAAACGGTTCAAGGTCCAAATGAGAGTTTCAGTGCAGCTTCAAAGGGCTTTAAACGATACCAGACGATGAATAAGGGTTTTATCTAGTGAAACAATCAGTCATTTCAAAAATAAATAAAAAAGTTTAAGTTTTATAAGCACAAATACTCGCCTTGCTCTGTTCTGTGATGAGCGTTTGTGACACTCCTGTTCGAACTGGTTTATCAAAATGAACAAATCTTTTTTCGAGTCATGACTCGAAGGGTCCTAGATTAGACCCTTATTCATCGTCTGGTGTCGTTTAAAGCCCTTTGAAGCTGCACTGAAACTCTCATTTGGACCTTGAACCGTTTGGTTCCCAATGAAGTCCATTATATGGAGAAAATCCTGGAATGTTTTCATCAAAAACCTTAATTTCTTTTCGACTGATGAAAGAAAGACGTGGACATCTTGGATGATATGTGGGTGAGTAAATTATCAGCAAAAGTTTTTTGGGAAGTGAACGACTCCTTTATGACTTTTCAAAGTAAAAGTGGTTGGCACACTCGAAAAAAATGCTGGTTGGTTCAACCCAAATCTGGGTCAAATATGGACAAACCCAGTCGTTGGGTTACATTTTTAAATTACATTGTCCATATGTCACCCAAAACTGTGTTAAAACAACCCAGCATTTTTTAGAGTGCACATTCTTTATAGTCTAAATAAACCTGGAAAGTCATTCAGCAAGACGACAAGCTAAAAGGCAAACGGTCATATCCCTTAGTGACGAAAATCATCAGAAATTGAAATTGAGTGGACAGATGGGAGGGCAGTTTAAAAAGTGTCACCACTATTACTGCTGGAGCGTATAAATGACAGTCAACACAGGATTATGGATAAAAGCAGAGGGTGGGAACATTTTCCTGCTGTTTATGTCTCACTCAGTCATTTTTTCTTTCTACCAGCCAGAAAAAAATAAGATAATTTACCCATTTGACATTGCCAACAAAATATGCTTTGGCATTCGCGTTATTTCTTGACTCACTCGCGTACTCACCCGTCTCGCTCTGCCTCCTTCTTCTCCAGATCCTGAATGACGTCCAGTAAAACCTTGATGGTGTTCTGGCTGGTTTCCAACACCCCTTCCAGGCTGTGCAGCTGAGACTGCAGAGCCCCAATGTCGTACAGAGGGCCGTTTGGGCCGAACAGTTTCTCTTTTGCCTTTGCCAGGTCTAGCTTACACATAGCCCCAGACATGAGCCCACCCAGTAGCTCCTGCACCTGCCGCAGTGTGTCCGCTTGGCCTTCTGCTGGTCCAAGAGGGGCCTGGGGATTCGTCCCCGCAGCAGGAGGCAACTGATTTTCAGGGCCGAGGATCGCCCGTCGGCTGCTTAAACATGTGGGCCTCACTGTAGCTCTTGCCTTAGATTTGGGAGGGACAGGAGGTGGAGTTTCACCTGCCTGATGGTGAGTTCCTGCTTCAACAATCGGCTTCGCCACCCCAGTTTTCACTCGGCCCTTGTCTGTGTTGTTGCTCTCAGCTTTGGGGACGGGAGGCTTGCGGGGCTGTCCTGGAGTTGAGGTGCCCTCTTTGCGGGGGGTGTATGGAGGGGGTGGAGGAGGAGGTGGGGGAGGAAGCATGAACTCTCTCCTGTCTCGTCTGTCCTGAGTGTAGCAGAAGGCCTGAGGGGGGGAGTGACTCACCCCAGTGTTAGAGTACAGCAGAGCAGTCTGTGGCGGACAGGCGTAAGGAGGTAAGGAATGCCTGAAATTAGCCGAGGGAAGCACAGTTTCTTGGGGTTTACTAGCATACATCATTGCCTCACGTGGACAGAGAATGGGTGACATATTCTGTGGGAATGATTTGGAGTGTGGTACCGTTTGATTTTGAGTCTTAAGCTGTTGCACGATTGGAGAGGGACTACTGCAAGACACTGCATTTTGCATACTGGAGTTGCAGTGTGGCAGTATTCGAACTGAAAATTTACCTGGTGCCGGTTGTGTGGAAGGGTTGCAAATCAGAACTGGTATGGAAGGTGTCACATTGGTTACCGCATTTTGTTGATCCAAAACGCAATGTACGGCAGTTTGTGCAATAGGGATGGTGGGTGCTGCAATGGGGCCTTTGAAGTGTGAGACAGGGGTGGCACAGGTTGCCTCGGGAGGAAATGACTTCAAATTGTGAGGGAGGGTTTGGGTAGGAATCTTATGAGATGCTGCAGGTCGTGTGGGAGAGCCAACTGTTGTTGGTTTGTCTTTGACACCGTGTGGTATAGACTGCACAGGAATTTTGCAAGATGATGTGGGGTGAACAGGTGTTGCTGATAAAGGAGATTGCACTGTTTGGACAGGAAGGGTAGGGGTCCTAATCAATGGCTCATTCTGATTAGAAACCTCACAGCATGGCACCGACTGAACGGGAGGTACAGGTTGAGTTGGAGATATCACAGAGTACACAGGTTGATTTGAGGTGTTACCGCATGCCATGGGTTGTGTTGGAGTCTTCTGGCAAGGCTGTGTGGAAGTGACCGTAGAGGCAACTGCAGGTTCTCCTTGAGAACAGGATGTTGTCTTGAAGCCAGCATTGCTGGAGCATGGAATGGTTTCCTCCAGTTTTTGGCAACCGGGTCTGGATTGAGCAGGAGTTGTGGGATCTGTATATGAATCTGAAATGCATTTGGAATCAGGTATTGGGGGAGTCTTGCAATTTGCCGTAGTCTGAATAGCAGGTGTGCAACAACGCCCTGTAGATTCAGTTGGAGACATGCATGATTGCCTGTGTGTGGTGTCAGTGGACATGACTTGTGCTGTGGTAGTGCACAAAGGCTCCAGTACAGAGGGGGTCGAAATTATGTTCTCTGGTGGGCAACATAGTGATGTTTCTTTGGGACATGGAAACAATGGACAAGATGCAGGATCTACCTCTGTTTGCAAAGAGGTTGCGTTGGCTGGGATTTTTGAATCACTGCTTACTTCAGTCTGTGTGGAAGAGACACTACATTGCGTATTATGAAGTGTGTTGGGTGTGGGGGAACGCTGTGGAGGCACGATATCTGACGAAGTTCTGTGTGCCACAGCTTTGGGTGTGGGTTTCTTAGGTTGGTTAGAAAGTGTATGGCTTCTGTGCACAGTTTTAGTTGGAGAAGTACAAGGAAGCTCATGTTTCCCAGGATCACTTGCTGCTCTGTTTAAGGATTTCCTCCTCCCTCTCCTTCTAGACTGTTTTTGTGGCGCAGGTTGTGTTGTTGTACCCACAGAGGCAGTTTGATTGTCCTCGGTTTTCTGGCACCTTGATTGCTCGGCGGGGGTACAATGTTGGACAGGACTCTTCCGTGATCTACAAGGCTGTGCGGTCAACTCATCCGAGGAGTCTTCGTCATCCCAGCCTCCCCCCAAGCTGTGACTGCGAGTCTGTGTGGCCGAGAGCGAGGGAGGCTTCTGCAAACTGGGTGAGGTTTGGATGGCTGTACTCCTGCATGGCTGAGTTGGCAGCGGCAGTGTGAGCGAACATGGATGCGTTGGGACCCAGCAGCGTCTGGTAGGCCCAGGGGTAAGTGGGTGCGGTGGTGCTCTCTTCAGAAACGCTGTTACGGCACCAATTGTCTTTTCCATGTCTCCACGGACCGCTCCCACCAGCGAGGGCCCATTTGTTAGCTCTTTCTGCCAGTTTGGAACCTCTGTTGGACTCTTACTCCTCACCTTTTCATTTTTATCCTTAGACTCATCGTCATCCTCCAAATCTTTAAAGCGTACCTGCTGCGTGCGGTTCCGCCTGCGTTTAAGTCTGCTTTCAATATCTGGAGAGTTTCGGTTGAGGAGGACTGAGCGCACAGTCACGGTTGTGGGTGTTTTGTCTGGGTTGCCATTGCTGTGGCTGTGAACAGTTGGCAAATGGTTAGGCTCTTTGCTCACCATGTTATCCAAGAGTAGCTTATGGACCATAGATGTAAATTTTGACTGCGTAGGGTTTTTGTCTGCTTTCACAAGTCAAATGTGAATAAACAATTAATTAGATAGAAAATTCAGTTGTAGCACACAGTATATTTGACATTTGGCAAACTCTGAACATGGTAAGTGCTGCAGTAACAAAAAAATTAAAAATTAAACAGACCAGCCGATGGCAGCAGAGCATGTGACTGGTCCTTTCCTCAGGTCACATGACTGAGGGTTTCTGTTTAAGTCTTTGTGGTAATGCTGTCAGAGTAGGTCCTGGTTTTGGCACGAAGAGTATTTATAAGCAAGTGTCTTTATATGCAAAAGAGGGACTGGTTGTATCCTGAGCTTTAGCCCCATTAGTCCACAGGGGCACTTAAACACTCAATGAGCAACCTTTGTGAAACTCTCTTTGTGTGAGTCCTGAAGAGCATGAACCTTTGGCAGGGAAGGCTTGCGAGTATGTCACAGAAGTCTGCATCATGGTTTCATAGCCGAGAGGAAAATCTCATGTCACATAGCTCTCACGGATGCTTGTCCTAAAAACATCAAGGCAAATAAAATATCAATAGGAAACAGTTTTCAGGCTGACCAGTGAGAGGATATCCAGACACCTTTAATGCCCTACTTTCCAACTCAAAGCTTTTGTGCACAGTCCTCGCTGGTGTAGCATTTCTTGACTGGGCAATGCATCTCTTTAAGTTGACTTTATCCCTCACATTTGTCCTTGGGTTCCTTTGCTTGTGTCGTTCACTTCATCGTTTTCTTTCGACAGGAACAGAACTGGACCATCTAAGCAAGGTAAAAACACAGAAAAAGGACAGTTAATTCGGTAATGTCCCAAAATCGTGGTTTGTACTTCTGAATCATGTTTTGTCAAACACATACACACACAATAAGTTTGTTCTAGCGTAAAAGGGTACCTGAGGACATACAGAAGTACCTATATTCCTCAAGTATAAGGCCCCGTCCACACTACTGCGTTTTCGTTAACGAATACGATCTCCGTCCACACCAGCGTTTTATCTGCGTATTAGAAATGACCATTCACCAACACTGGGCATGCGCGTGATGGTGTAAACAGTGATTGACGAATCAGGGAAGGATACGTCATGACTGATAACACCCAATCATGGAGCCAAGCGTCAGGCCCTGCGTCAGCGTTTCTGAAGTCCTCCGTTTTGTCTCGTCTACACTAAAACGCCCTCCGGAGATTCAGAACGCAAAACGCAGCTGCAGCGTTTCTAAACTTCTCCGTTTTAAGTCTTCATTTTTCCCGTTTTAGTCTGGACGGGAGGTGCAAACGTAGCAAAAGGTCTCCATTTTTAAACGAAAACGCAGTAGTGTGGACGGGGCCTAAACCTGCCCCAACAAAGCAAATATTTCAGTTCCCTTCAATAATCAAGTCTTTGATCTCCTTTCATTTTCTGGTGAGGCAGTCTACGAAATAGTTTAGGGTCAAATATATGACAACGGTAGATATTGAGAGTACTTTTAGCTTGTCTGTGGCTTTGGGGCTGGTGTTTAACTCAGTGGTGTCTCAGAGGGGGCAGACTAAGAGATATTCAGGGGTAGAAACTGACAACGCTAATTAACTTGGCTTGTCTTTAAGCAACCCCCCTGGCACATGGAGGCACAAGCATGACAGCTGATCGCCTCAGGGAATTCTGAACACACTCTATCACACCGTCACTGTGACCAGGCACTGCATTCTGTCAGTGATCAGACAATCACAGCCCGCTGAGTCATGAAAGGATGTTAAATGTCTGTGTACGTGTCTTGTGGTACACATATTTGCATCAGATGGGGAATCAGTCAGATTGAATCATAGCACAGAAGATCTTACTTAATAAAACTACTAGCATGTCACAGCCAACCACTATGATTTCTTGTATCAAAACAGTCATATAGCTTCAAGTGCTAATTAATTAGCCTATGGGCATATTTTGCTTCTTTCTGATTACAGGATCATTCTTGTTATGCAGTACATGTTCATGTCACTGTCTCAATCTACTTAAGCATCAAAATATTAAACGTTTAAAAAAAAATTACAACCATTATTGATCACAGCTCCCAAATTGCACATCCCATTATGGTATACATATTGCACATCCCCGACGGTTTATGCACATTATACATACTACTTACAGCACAGACAGTAAACCCTGCTGAAAAATCCAGCTAAAACCAGCCAAGGCTGGTTGGCTGGTTTTGGCTGGTCTCCCAGCCTGGTTAGTTGGTTTATCAGGCTGGTTTTAGAGGGGTTTTGAACACTTTTTCAGCTGGTCAGGCTGGTCTTAGCTGGTCAAGTTGGTAGCCAGGCTGGGAGACCAGCTTAACCAGCTAAGTCAGGCTGGGAGACCAGCTTGACCAGCTAAGCCAGGCTGGGTGACCAACTAAAACCAGCTACTTCCAGCTTAAACCAGCTAAGACCAGCCAACCAGCCTAGGCTGGTTTTAGCTGGATTTTTCAGCAGGGAAATCAATATGTTAGAATGCAATTCTGAACATAGACAAAACCAACTGAACAAAATACAGAAGCAGTGCAAAAACTCAATAACCTTTTGCATGCCAAAACACACAGTCAAGCCAAATTCACTTTTTTACAATACGCAATTTTTCAAAGTAGCTTTGCAGACAATCCTGATGTTAACGTTAATTATATCTTAATATCTCCATGCATTATAGTGGGTCCTTCATACTTGCTTTCAAATAATGCCAAAAGGCCATTGAGCACAGAGGCTCACAGGAAAAAGAATAAAGCACAAACTACCACCTTCCACCTTTAGTTTTATGTAGGTAATCAAGCCATCATTGATTGCCTCTCACCCAGCTAAACTACGGGTTCCTCTTGAAATCTCTTACAGCAGCTCTTCAGGTTCAACTACCACTGAAGCCTCAGCCAAAGGCTAAACATGCTCCATTATTAACCTGTTATCTCCATGTAGCCCAAAGATCAATCTGGCTTGGTACAGCTTAGCAATTGTAAAGTAATATAGCTCGATAATTGGGGGCTTGTACAGAACAGACAGAACAGAATAAATGAACAACAGCTGCAGTGTCACCTTTGTTAAATTAAATGCTTTAAAATGTGTAATTAATTTTAAAATTAACATCTGCAGCCCAAAAATTTCAAAAAGTTTCACTGATTGTAAAAGAAGACTATAGCTATAGCTCCCTTTGCAGCAATGCTGAGAATGCAACACATTTTGAAATGCAATGATGGATGAAATCAAGCTTGGGTAGCTAAAAGCATCAGCCTTCACATACTTGCTTAAAAGGGTCATGATTTGAGATCATCAAAGTTTCCTTGATCTTTTGACAGTTTCAGAACTTAAGACTTCCTCGTTAGTCCAAAAACAGCTTGAAACCAAGCTCCGAAAATGGATTTTGTCACATTGTGACCTGACAGTGCGGCGAAAGACCACCTCTGCAGAACCAGATCAATGTCTACTTCTACATTATCGCGTCTTTGAAGAGTATGGAAGCTTGTTTCCGCCACTGAATGAAAAATAAAAAAGGTGACTTTATATCTCACAATTCTGAGATATAATGTCAGAACTGCGAGATATAAAGTCAGAATTGCATGATATAAAGTCGCAATTGCATGTTATAAAGTCAGAATTGCATGATATAAAGTCGAAATTGCATGTTGTAAAGTCAGAATTGTGAGATATAAACTATTCTGAGGGGGGGAAAGTCTTTTTTCAGATGTCAGAATTTCGAGATATAAACTCGCAATTGTGAGAAAAAAGTCAGAATTGTGAGAAAAACAGTCTCAATTCTGTCTTTTTTTCTCACAATTGCGACTTTATTTCTCAGAATTGCGACTTTATTTCTCAGGATTGCAACTTTATATCTCTTATTTCTCAGAATTGCGACTTTATTTCTCAGAATTGCGACTTTATATCTCGCAATTGCGACTTTATTTCTCAGAATTGCGACTTTATATCTCGCAATTGTGACTTTATTTCTCAGAATTGCGTCTTTATATCTCGCAATTGTGACTTTATTTCTCAGAATTGCGTCTTTATATCTCGCAATTGTGACTTTATTTCTCAGAATTCCGACTTTATTTCTCAGAATTGCGACTTTATATCTCGCAATTGCGACTTTATTTCTCAGAATTGCGTCTTTATATCTCGCAATTGTGACTTTATTTCTCAGAATTGCGTCTTTATATCTCGCAATTGCGACTTTATTTCTCAGAATTGCGTCTTTATATCTCGCAATTGTGACTTTATTTCTCAGAATTGCGTCTTTATATCTCGCAATTGTGACTTTATTTCTCAGAATTCCGACTTTATTTCTCAGAATTGCGACTTTATATCTCGCAATTGTGACTTTATTTCTCAGAATTGAGACTTTATATCTTGCAATTGCGACTTTATTTCTCAGAATTGCGACTTTATATCTAGAAAATTGCGACTTTATATCTTGCAAATGCAACTTTATTTCTCAGAATTGCGACTTTATATCTTGCAAATGCGACTTTATTTCTAGAAAATTGCGACTTTATATCTCGCAATTGCGACTTTATTTCTCAGAATTGCGTCTTTATATCTCGCAATTGTGACTTTATTTCTCAGAATTCCGACTTTATTTCTCAGAATTGCGACTTTATATTTTGCAATTGCGACTTTATTTCTCAGAATTGCGACTTTATATGTAGAAATTTGCGACTTTATATCTAGCAAATGTGACTTTATTTCTCAGAATTGCGACTTTATATCTTGCAATTGCGACTTTATTTCTCAGAATTGCGACTTTATATCTAGAAAATTGCGACTTTATATCTTGCAAATGCAACTTTATTTCTCAGAATTGCGACTTTAAATCTTGCAAATGCGACTTTATTTCTAGAAAATTGCGACTTTATATCTTGCAAATGCGACTTTATTTCTAGAAAATTGCGACTTTATATCTCGCAATTGCGACTTTATTTCTCAGAATTGCGTCTTTACATCTCGCAATTGCGACTTTATTTTTCAGAAATGGACTTTATATCTCGCAATTGCGACTTTATTTCTCACAATTCTGACTTCATATCTCACAATTGTAAGATAAAAAGTCGCAATTATTATCGCAATTATTCTTTTTATTCAGTGGCGGAAACAAGCTTCCATAGGAGAGAAACAGGATCACTGGACGAAAAATAACATTACCTTCCAAAGGATCCTAATGCTTGGAAAATGGCTATGTGAATGTCTCATTGGAGCATTGTTTGTTTATTCGGTACATTTCATCGTGCATTCTTTGGTAAATCAGTCGCAGTTTCGCCGCAGGCTTTGCAAACAGACTTTTACTGTAAGATATGGTCCCAACAGCCATGCCACAACATGTAAGTAACAGTGTTTCTTCTAATGCGTAATCTGTGATCAGTGATTTTTGATATGTAATGGTCCATTTTCAGTCAGACGTTTTTGATTTCAAAATCATTTATTGTTGTTTAAGTGTCAGTAAATCAAGGTCAACTTCACATGCGCTCCACAGGTCTGTCATCATGCGACAGGAGTAGATCTAAATATAATGTAATCAACACTTTTCAGCAGCTGTAATAGTAAAAACGTAGTAAAAGAGTACCACAAGTAATACTTATTGCATATGCAAATTTGTTAGCCAATCATAGCAGTGGATATCTGACAATAGAAATGCCCCAGAACAAAATGGCCTTTTATTTTTAAATTATGACAGGCTAACTTTATAAGTGCACCTCAGGAAACATAAAATAATATTTTTTTAAAATGCAGTTCATGACCTCTTTAAAGTATGTTTCAGGCTTTAGGCTTGTTA